TGGTGGGAATTAAATCCTTATATAAAAAAGTGGCTAATTGAGATATATTTATATCTAATCAACGGAAAGTAAATCCGTATATAAGAAAATTATACTTTTCTATGAAAAAAAGCTAATTAAAATAGGAATTAATCAACGGACAGTAAATCCGCGGACAGTAAATCGTGCACTCGCTGTTTTGTATATAATACATAAATATATAGTCATCAATTCGTCTTATATATGTTTCTACTTCTATTTTTTCTAAAAAGTGACTAATTTATATATCTATATTTTAAATTACAGTTGTTGATTGACTAATTAAAAAGTGGCCGCAATTTGGAAACGTAGAATCATACAAATTTACTCGTTCCAAATTGCGTCCACTTTTATACTAATTAGCTTAAATTTGGGCCGCATTTAGGAAGTAGCCGTATGGTCATCTTTTTCTTCAGAATCATTGCCAAGAACGTCCATATATCGATAACTTAATGAGCGTAATATTGCTTGAAAATCTTTCAGAATTAAATTGCCATCGAAATAATTTTTTCGTACTTTCTCCCTAATAGTACTTTTTCGATTGAGTATATTCGTAAACACTAGTGGAAAGGCTCATTTTTCTTTGACACTGCAAAATACACATACAGTCAACAGTAATATAGGTCATCATTGACAAAATGATTAGTAATCGCAGTATCAACCAGGTCATTGACATACAGTTCTGTTTCTCGTATTGTTTTATTTCTGTTCTTTTCTGTGATATGTAACATATAATTCTGATTTATATTTTATTAGAAAGGTTATATATAATTTTAATTATTATCACTAATTTGTTAAATTCTCATTTTTGAATTGAGACCACTTTTTTAATCCAATTAATAATTTTTAAGCAAAAAGTGATCTCAATTCGGAAGCCTTGGAACTAACACTAGTCGAAGTAACTATTGTATAGATTATCAATCAATCGCAGCAGCTTGATATCAGAATCCTAAATAGACTAAAAAATTATGTTTTGTACATAATAGTATTTTAATTCTTTGATGCCAGGGCACGCATATATGCGTGTTGAAGTTTTACACGTATTATCGTCATTATAATATTATAATGACGATAATACGTGCAAAACTATATGCGTGCTCCGGCATCAAAGGGTTAAGAGCAACAACTTCCGATACTATTACAACAGAGTTTATAAGTCTAAGTAAAACAAAATGAACGATAGTAGAATAAAAGAATCTGTATTCGAAATCGATTGCTTTTTTATTACTACTCTTTACTGGAGTTAAGTTGTTCTCTCATTCATTTAACACACTTTTTTTTTAAAGATTTTTAAGAATTCTCCGCTGAAAAGAAACACAGCTTTCTGAATTATTAGGCGAAGAGAAACTTTAAGTCTGAAAGCCTAATGTCGCGTCTACAATAAGAGGAAGCATGGTTGAAATTTCTACGGGGCTGGTGATACTTGTAAATCTTGATTTTTGTTTACTCCATATATTATTTATAAAGAGTGTATTATTTGGGGAATCTTTTCGGATAGTCTAAAACCGCACGTCATATCAGAATTGTTAAAATCATCAGAATTTTACAAGAATAAGTAATTAGTTCTTATGGAAATTTTACGGAATCTTGAAAAATCTTACAAGATTCGTGCACAATAATTAGAGACTAGTCAAAGGGCTTTCTTTTTTAATATTCTTAATCAATTTGTGAATAATTAGCGATCGCTAGAACTGTTCGACGGAATCGATGTGATCTATATCTGCTGGTTTACATCATTTACTTTACTTTCCGTTAATTCTTTTCTATTTTGATTAGTTTTTTTCCACAGGAAAGGAAAGAAAAATATAATTTACGTTCTATAAGATTTATTTCCATTGATTACATAAAAATATATACAAATTAACAGCATGATATGCTTCTTCAACTATACGACCTATTGGTCCAGACTCTTCAACAGCTTTATGTTTTAAATTTGATTTTGTAATATTTCTATATCAGTTTCATCTGAGAGACGTAGTATATGCTCAATATCTGTACGACGACTAACAAAATCTGGATAAGTTGTTGCTATTGCCTTGCATTTCACATGCACATAATACTCTGAACTGACTGATAATTACTGTTTTAATTTTGTCGGTATTTTCCATTATTTAGCAACTATATTTAAAGAGTAGCGTTTCTCTCCTTATCCTTTATTGATGAATGTTCGTTACGCTTGAAAAATTTATTAACTGTACTGAGTTATTATTTGGTTATGTTGTCAATGGGTTGTTATTTTTCTCCAAATAATTAGTGAAAAGTAAATCCTATGCAGCGAAAATGATTTTTTTTTTCTTTATTGTGAAAAAAAACTAATTAAATAGAAAACAATTAACAGAGGGTAAATCCGCGGAAAATAAACCGTGTCATCGAAATACAATATGTATCATTTCATCTTTCTTAACATGAACATCGGTACAACTATAAAGATATATTTCTTGCATCATTATCAGTCCATTGGCTTCAAAGAATGAAAGTTAGTTTACATTCATTGTGATGAAATCAGACTAATTTGTAGTATTGTTTTGACATTTTTTCTAATCTCATTTACATATCAGAAGACCATCACTTTGTAATAGTGCCAATTTCTTATTTAAATAAAACATACATGAGGTTTTGAAAGAGAAATATATAAATAATATTTTTTTTTTGTGAACGGATAAACTCCTGTATTCCTTCTATAATTTGTTTTTTTGTTCTTTCTTGTATTATTCAGAGAAAATGGAAAAATGGAACAATATTATATCACGATGGTACTAATAGAATGAAACGCTATGAATAAACACAAAAGTAAATAATATTTATATAACTGGAAAAGCAAAAAGGAAATCTTGACAAGAGAATATTAAGTGTACTAAGTAGAATCAAATCAGATAGATTTCATGTGCTATTTAAAGAATTAGTAGTAACATCCTTATAATCAAGATACATATTTTATTATGTTTCAGATATTTAAATATAATAGATGGATTTATTTAATACAGATATTAACAGCACTTATCATGGCCAAAATAATCTTGAACATATACAAAAAATATTATTACACGCATCTATACCATATATTTTAATTGTGAGTGCGGTTGGTATTATTGGGAACATATTCACTGTTATACTCTTGTCAAGGCGTCCATTATCAAAAAATTTAAATAATTGTACATTAATCGCATTAGGTGAGAAATAGATATGTCTCTATTGTAATAAAATTTAAATTGACACTTATGCCCATATTAGAGATGTGCATGACCAAACTTCTTCGGTCACGGTCACAGTGATCACGAAAAATTTTTATCAAATTATTTTTTAAAGGTAGTGACATTAAATGTTCATAATTTTCACTTTCTGCACTTGTCCTAACTCTCAAAATATTCTCACACACATGCAGATTTTTTTCAGGAGTAGTGAACAAACTATTATTCAAGAAACGAATGAAAAACTGAATAAAAGATCTTTTACCAGACATAACATTAGTAAGAAACTGTTTCGACATTATTCTTACTAGAAACTCCCATGGCAAATATTTCTTCGCATGGTCACGCTCGTGGTAACTGTTACATTGTGAATGGTACCGTGACTGTGATCACGCACATCTCTAGCTGATGTAGAAGAAATTTAAACTATAGAATTTGTTAATACTATCCATCAGGATGATTGTTTTAACAAATTTTGTCTAAATTTAAACATTTGGTAATGTTCAAAAATCGTACTATTTTTCTATCTTAAATCTATTTTTTCTAAATTTATTTTTAGCAATAAGTGATTTATTATTTAACATTGTTTTAATTTTTCGATGTATTAACGATTTGACTCGAACCAATAGTGGTACTATGTGTAAATTGTTGTCAATGTTTTCTCATTTAGCGGAATTATTATCTGCCTGTTTTACTGTACATTTTACAGTACAACGTTTTATCGCTGTTAAATTACCATTAAAAGCTGCATTGAAAAGTGCTCGGTTAGCAAATTATGTCATTGTTTTTACTTGTACAATACTCAGTTTAGTATATTGTATTTCGCTTGTTTATAATAATCAATATTATCAATGTCAGGAAGAATTGACACTAAAATGGTTTATATCTGATGCCATATTATCATTTGTTTTACCATTTTTTCTAATTATCTGTTTTAATTTGCTTATTGTCTATCAAATACGAATACACGAAAAATCAGCAATTGCTGCTCAATCTACAGTGAATTATGTACGATCACGAGCATCAACAACAACAACAACAGTGACAAATAATTCAGTCAATAATAATAATAATAAAAGAAGATGTCGATCGGAACTCAGTATACACGCGCGTCCAACGCAAAAAAAATCATCATTAAGTAACAACAAACATCTTCAAAACAGAGTGTATCACTGGAAAAAAAATCGATTGGCCGATGAAACTTCATTTTCCATCGATTACTCAAGTAATCAAAATCAATCAGCTGAAGATCCTGTCGTTTACTATCGAACGTTACGTAGTAATCAGCAGTTATTAAGGGTAAGATCATAGTCAAACAGTTCTATGGCTTAGTATGAAAATAAAAAACTTAGTGAAATATCCTTTTTTTTCTTGTTGGACTATCAAACTGAATTTATAATTTTGATAACAAACTTTCGAGTAGATGAGATTATAACGTTTTGAAACAAACAGGTAGAAGGTTAATGCTTTCGTATTTTGTTTAAGGCCAATGTAAACAATAATCTAGCTCCTTATCATCAACAACGACAACAAGAACAATTGCCAGAAACTGCATCATTAAGATATTCGAAACGTCAACAAATGTGTTATAAACCCGAAAAGAAAACATTGGCATCGTGCATTCGACGATTTTTAAAAAAAGGAAACGATAGCAGTTTCAAACATCATCATCATAAGAGTGATGATGGTACAATGTGTTTACGGCCACTAAATAGCGGCGAATTTGAAGATTATCCAATGATGGAGAATGAAAACAAATTATCACCGGTTCATTTATTTCTACGCAAAACAAAGATGACAATCACAGATCGTTTACAGAAGAATAGTAGTGGGCAACAAACAAAGATTGCATTATCCACTCGTGTTACACGTATGTTGATACTGGTTTCAACATGTTTTCTACTATTAAATGCCCCGTCACACATTTGTATCATTGCACTAAAACTATACACATTAACGAACGGAACACCCTCGTATGATCATCCACTGATTGATTTACATTTAAAACGAATAAACAGTACAAATACATCGCATACGAACAGACTCGTTTTTATAAAGAATCAAAATTCTACTTCGAATTTATTTAATAATGGAAATCAATTCAAAATTAGAATTGCCGAATTTTTATATCTATCGATTCTGATAACGCAATTGTTGTCGTATGCATCATTTTCCATTAACTTCTTTCTTTATAGTTTTTGTGGGATCAAGTTTCGCAGTGAACTCATTCATTTTCTTTTTAGACGAAGAAAGCAATCAAGTTCATATTCATTCTAGTCAATCTTAGTAATTACTTGCTGATACGATGTTTATTAAGTGTTAATAAATTGTAAAATAAAGACAAGGACGGGAGCGATTATCTTATGAAATCAGCCCATGCTTGAGTTTTATCGACTAATTAAAGACTAGATGTAGAATAAATAGAAGAATATTTCTAGATACTTACTAGACCTTACAACCACTCTCAGAAAAAAACTGATCGAATCAAGTTTGATTAAGTTTCTACTCCGTCTGATATATATTATAGAACGTATTTTGGAATTTTCTCTATCAGTTTCACAATTTCTCACGACCATTATATTATCGTTCGAAAGCTCTTTTTCTTCGCTATATTTCTGTATATCACATATACAGAAATAGTCGTTCTGAGGCCAAGTATGCTTAGAAATACTTCTGGCTACGGAAAATGATCTCCGACGCACAAAACGTCTCAGATATTCTATGTCAATATTTCTCCTCCAGCCACTACAATAAATATACCGTTCGGAAATATCTCATAATCTGGTAATTGATCGAAAAAGCAAAGGAGTTCTAGTGTACGAAAAGCGTTTTAAACGGAGAGATGAAGATCAAACTGTTGTTTACTTAAGCCAGTCAAATTATAATGATCTTCATCCGTTAAATTCATCATGTCATCAAAATTGAAGCGTTTTTATTACTCATCATAATCGCGACTTTCAAGAACAATCCGAGGATATCATCGCGGGACAAGGAAATGGTTTGAATCAAAATAAGCGGAATATTTTATTTAGTCAAATAGCCACTTTTTTGCCAAATACGATTGTTACTCTTCCCTTACTACTACTCAAAGATAATACTATTCAACAGGTTGATTTAATAGAAATATACAAATTGATGATAACCTACATGGTAAAAAAAAGCATCTAAAAGTTGATGCCTTTTAGTAGCGATTTTTTCGTCCCATCCTGGTATGCGTTTTGCTAGACGGTTTTTTTCTGGATGAATTTTTTCGTATGTTTTTTTGTTAAATGAAAAAACAAAATTTGAAAAGATTTCCAAATAATATTTTACTTAGTTTTACTACTTTGGAAGCACGCCTGATCTGCTGGACCGATCCACTTTCGCAGGAAGCCAGTCGTTTCTGAGATAAGCTAGTGCAGTGAAACGAGTCATCAAAGCAGTATGCACTTAAATACTGTGCTTGGAATTCTTGTGGACTCATTTTTGTCGACGCTTTTTTTAGCATACTTTTTGTGAGCGTTTTTTTTTATCGTGTATATTACGAATCCTGAACGCTTTATGAAACATGAAACATGCCTGACTATTTTCTTCTTATTTAATTCCAGACATCTCAGCAGCATCTTGGATGTGTCCGTTACGGGTTTTCATCCCTTCTTTACCTTATTTTTGATTTTTATGTGCTTTTTCTCTTAGCTTATCAGTTGTTGTTTGCCTTTATTGGCTCTTCTTATTGTCACTTCTCTCTCTTTCTCCACGTAGCATACTTATCTTGTCTATTTAATTGATACTGTAACAGTACTGAAGGACTCATTCCCCGTTTGTAAGTTAATGGACTTTTTATACATTTTTCTATTTCCATTTTGCTGGCCGATTAATTTAGAAAAAATATAGAATGTTTCATTATATAAGTAATCAGATGTTGTTAATAAAAGATACATTCTATGATTAATCAAAAGGAAAAAAAGGACAATTAAGACATGATATTGAAAAAAAGCCGGTAATACAAGAACGATGATCTAGCTGTCAATTTCAAACCAGATTCAAAGTGTTCTGATGTGTTCTTAGAATGCGAATGTTGTTCAGTTTTTAGAAGAAGGAGTTAGTATTTCCAAGTAGAACATGATCGACCGTATCAAAATGTATACTTGGATTCTCGCTGTGTTTTACCATTCTCTTGAGATCTTCCAAATATTAGCGTTTTCCAAAGGTCAAAATTGATAACTTCAATTTCACATTTAAAAAGGTTCCACCCCAATTCTCTCAGACACAGTGACTAAAAGAAGAAAAACATGCACAAGTTTTTTTCGTAGGTTCTTATAGAATCATGCCAGCATCATGCGTATTCAACTCAGTGCATGAAGAGAAACTACACATGAAAACATCAAAAGCTTGAAACTATTATTCTATAATTACCTTGCGAACGAATCTACTTTGCCGTGAACCTTCGTTGTTATAACAAAAGAAAAAAAACAACTAGATCTCAATATGAATTTCGTTATCATTTACGAGCAATAATCAACCACGAAACTGACCATTTTACGACAACTATAATGGACCCATCGGACTATATAGCTATACGTAGTCAATGATTTTCACAGAGTCGCAAAAAGTGAAGTATTCACCATCGCATGTCGAAACAGCTGTATACGTATTAGCAACATAATTTGTTCGCTTTTCATCTTTATTCATGTAATACAGCATTCGAAACGTTTTTTTACTAATTGAAATAAAACGAAGTTAAAGATATACTTAAACATACTGTCAAAAATCCCCCAAAAATGTACATTTTCTGACTGAAATTGATGTCCTATTTGGAACATGAATGGTAGAATTGGAACATGTTCATAGGTAAATCCTGCACGGATATACTTGGAAGATCTAGGGGAAACTATTAGTATTTCGAGGATTTGATGACAACGGTAAGACATAGGCATAAAGGCAAAAAAGATAGAGCCCAGTTATTCGTTCACAGAAAATTACACCAACATGTGACGAAAAAAGGATGCACCTTTTGAACGCTTTTTTTATGTCGTGCACTCTATTGATAATCGAATTTATGAAAATAAAAATGAAGGAAATTAAATGAAGGAAATACAACAAATACTACATGGCGACCACTACCGATGAAAAGATGAAGAACGTGCCTATCTTCAAGATTCTGAAGATGAAGTCATCGATCTTATTAGGGATATTCGTCGGCAATTTCCATATAAACGCACAATTCGATGATCAGTTGAATATGGCAACGACAGACAACATAGTTTTTATATACTTGTTAAACCATCAAGTCGATGAATAATGGATCATTTTGCTTTTTTTTAATTTTTATTAAGATCATAAAATAAAACAAGAAGAGGACAAGAACTATTGAATTTCTTTTAATAAATCATTTCAGATTTACTGTTTTCTTTTGTCCTATTTTTCGATAATAATTATAGACAACAGCATTGTTGGCATTGTAGCATGAAAAAAGAAGATGAGAATGTGGCGGCGGCCGCAACGGCAGCAACGGTAACAGGTCCTTCAGTGATTAGCAAAGATTAAGAAAAGTACCACGAGGCGCTCATCCTCGATTATTTGGTCAGAAGAACGATGAATCAGAAGGTATTTTATGTGAAGCACAGCCAATGGCTCGTTATGGAATGATGCCTTGTTATGATCGACATTGTTTTCTGTGTCAATCACGACGACGAGGAGGAGAAGGTGCAAATGGCGACCTATTGAATACTACTGTTCATTCTTCTTCTAAACAAATTCACCGTTTTGTTAATATGTACGAGGCTATTCTTAATTGTGATGCAGTAAGCAACTTACATAATATTGTTTCTTCAACAAATACTAAGAAAATGTTTTTGTATTATATTTAGAATTGCATTACGTCAGATATAATCTATGCTTTGACATATCCTTGTGGTCAATGCGATTTTATCGGTTCAACCTCAATGAATTTTCACGAACGAATGTTAAGTAAGCGTGTGCGATGTAGTAATGGCTTTTGTAATATTGTTTTTATATTTAGGACATCGTGACGGCAATAATCGAGTAGTTTGTGAATTCTTAATTGGTATCAATAATATTTAAACAGAAACCACGATCAGAAGAGTAATTTTTTCATATTTATATGTATATAGATATGTGTGGATTATCTTTGTATATTATAGTACATTAGTGAACAACAATGAAATGCTTCTTTATCAACATTCGCCACGTTGTTCGTTGGTTCTTCAACGTTTTTGGATCATAATTCAGAATACCGGTGTTTAGCCCCAATGTTATGGCGTGGATGGAAAAGAGAAAAGATGATTGTAATTTTCTCTTTCTGGTACCAGGTGATTGTTCATACGAATTGCGACAATTCATTGATGCATTATTTATTACACATACTGAAACAAAATTAAATACTACAGGTCGTCTTACACACAAAGGATTATGGCCTATAGCGACAACATCGTTTGATCATTCAAATCGTGGACAAAGGTGTGACAAACTTGTTCGACGTTCATCTTGAACGCAAACATCTTTTAACTTTCGAATTCTTTTTATGGTTTTTTTTTGCTTTGGTTTTTGGTTGCTTTTATTAGATTCTTCTAGTTAAAAAGAATAACTAAAATGAAATACATTCAGATAATCTATATTATCGTTTGTATTTTAGATAAATATAGTCCGACCAGGATTTCTGACGATTATAAAACAGAAATCATGTCTTTATTGAACAATCTCCATCAAAAGAGCAACAGTAGTTGTTATTGTCGATATTTAGTTAAATATGATTGCGCTTGTAAAAAAGTTAATCCATATTGTCTTCATATTGATGTGTTCTAGATAAATTTATCTTTATTGTCTATAAACGGAATCTGAACAACAGTCGACAAACTCGAAGGCAACAGCGATATAGAACCAAGCAGAAGCTCTTAGAACTTTGTGAACTTGCTGGTGCACAGGGGACGGCGACAGTGGTGGCGCAGGTAAGCTCTGATATGTCTTGAAAGAAGAGTTTATGATATTATATTTCTTCGCTCTAAATAGAAGAATAATGTTATTCAAATAAATATGAAACGAAAAAGGGAGTTAACGGCAACGATGATGACGTCATCAAAAACGACAGATCACGTAACAAGGTCGTTTAGAGACATGTTGCTAGGTGCGAGCTTACTTTTCATTGGTAGAAGTCGTGAAAAAATCGGAAGTCCGACATGGTTAAAAGTGAAAAAAGTCCAAAATTTGGAAAATTTGCGCGCTCTCTCCGCCCACAGAAAACATTTTTATAAAATTACAACTGCCAGAGAATCTAAGTACAAAGTAACAGCTGCCTAAATAATCAATTTCGCCAAAAAGTCTTGCCTTTGAAGCAATAAATAAGAGCCAGTTTTTAGGAAATAATGCCTGTTATCTCGGTAACGGAAAAGACCTGACAAGAGATATTTTCGAATTAGTCATGTCCTTATGCTAATAAGTAACTTGCAAAAAAGATTTTTCTTCAACTCGTCTGCAAAAAAACTCCAGCCAAATCTATTTCGACTTCATATGATACCAAATGTAGCCGGTAGCAAGAAGTTGGAAAAATTGTTCGAATAATTTCAATTTTTCTACCAGAACGATGTGAGTTTGAAACAGAAGCGAGGTTATTTTGAATCCACGTGAAAACTGAATTGAACGATGCATATTACAGGGATTTTTGAACATAGAATTTTTTCGAAAACTTTCCGCTTGGCTCAAACATGCAACCATGGGCTCAAATTTTAAAAAAAAGGTTTTTTGCTCAGAACTATTTATTCGGAAGTTATGATAAGGTTGCAACGAAGATTTAAATTCTTAAAAAGCTTCAGCGAAATATTGTTCACGTATACTAAAACCTAGCATGCATAAACTGATAGCGCAATGGCTCAGTTGGTTCAATCGCAGGTATGTACAATAAAGTGTTGCATGTTCGCTTCTAACCTACTTCTCTATCTTTCTTTCATTCAGACTAGTCCAGACGTCGTTTGCGGGCTAAAATTATGCTATATTAAGAAAGGTTTTAGTTATATTTCAGAGTTTCTGAAAAACTGTTTTTTCAGTAAACCGGGTCTCCAAAAGCTAAAAAAAGAATCGAGCAATTAGTGTGTAGCGCGCGACCCGCCGGTTCGAATGGCATTTGAATGAAGGTGCTAGCTCTCCACCGAAAGCACTAGATAGGGTTACAAAATTAGGTCGCATCAACGGAGAACCATCGATTTTTAAATTTTCAAGCCTATACGATACGCACGATCAAGCTCTAGACCACATGTCTACACTCAGTTTGAGTCGGGAAATCCGAAAATTACATTGGTGAGATCGGAAAGTAAAATTATGAGAAGATAATAGCGATTTTCTCAAAAGTCAGTTTTTGAGGAGTAGGCAGTATCTTGCATTTTTCACCGGGAAAACTTGCTCAAATCGAAAAATAAGGCCATATTCATGATCACGAGATAAAACTACGTCTAATGATGTGTCTTTAAGCCTAAAATAAAAAGTGTTGATACTTTGAATTACTGATAGCTTACAAAAAATGTAAAACGAAAAAATCAGTACTTTTCATGTCACCCCCCCTCCCCCCCTGATGTCCACAGATGTGGACATTTCATTACTGGACACGGTGCACCAAGGAAACTTGACAGAACTTTACTTTCTTGTGTAATTATAGAATAGATCCGTATAGCAATAGTTATCAACCACCATATCTGAAAACCCTTCTATGGCTAAATATATGGAAAAAGTTTTTAAAAAAATTCGAAAATTTGAAATTCTTTGATTTCAAGAGTTAATTACCTCAGTCAAGGTTCCATAGAAAAAAAATTCTTTTTTAACAATCGAGAGCTTATGAAGTCTCTAAGGTTGTAACAAAATCCGGTTCTGATATGACGCTTCGTTATTTCTGTATATCGATTTTATCAATGTCCACGGGTGTAGACATTCGAGGGTAAAGGGTTAAGAAAGTTTTCAGATCAAAACGATACGTGCATCACACTTCTTTATTAGAGAGATATATTTCCTGGTGCGTGGGAATTGCTTCAAACGAATCGGTCATAAACTACGACATAGAAGAGGTTATGACCCTGAATGACTTTCCTGACACTTTTTGACATCACTTTCATTATTTATCGTTTTTCAAACGTGTGGAAAATGTTGTAAGAATTTTTTATTTTTATTTTTAAATGTAAATATAAAACAAATTTTTCTTTCTTTCTTTTTATTACTCCTGTATCATATCATTCTCTGTTTTGTTGCAAATTGTAGAAATATCTTTCCTTGCATTTTCATTTTCAATTATTTAGTTCTCCCTACTTTTGTTCTTGAAAGGCCGTCAGTTTTTGCAAATAAATATATACAAAATGAATGTCTGATAATATATTGGTTACAATTATCCAAAGACTATATTATTTAAAAAACAAATTTTAGTCTAAAATTTAAAATAAATTTTAATATTTGTTAATGCTTTTAAAAATATTTTATTATAAACGGGAGAAGTTCTACAAGAGAAATACATTTCGAAAATATTGCTCTGACTGTTAGATAATAATTGAGCAAAATCGACCTTTTTTTTAGAAATTGGAATCGATTTCCAAAAAACTCTACAATTTTTCTTTTCATTGTTTAATAAATTTCTAAATGGCTATCTGGCCTTATTTTTGTTAAAAAGTGCAAAAAACAATATTTTTATCATCAAAAAATTTTTCATGATTGTATTTTTTTCAAAATCAAAACTGGGATCTGAAGTAGGAATTCTGATTATATATCGCCGATCTAAAGTGGAAAAAAATTTTTTAGAGTAGAACATAAAGTACCCAACACTCTTACCCTACGGTCGATCAACTGCAAAGCAACAAAAATATTGAAAGTATCTTCCACTAACTTTGAGAAAACATTTTCACAGTAAAGCATCTTCTGTTGTTAGCGTAATCGAATTATCTAAAATTATCTATGTAATAATACGGTATGTCATAAAGCATGGGTATTTTGTATTTCCTCAATAACACCGTCAGTTTTGATCGAATCGAATTAATTCTTTTTTAAAAGATTCATCGGTCAATTCTCTACTAAACCATAAAAAGGTTTTTGTTCTAAACTCAAAATTAAATAAAGTTATTGTCCAACATATCTAACTTTCAAGCTCGAATACATATAACTGTTTTACCGTTTTTTTCGGCAATAAAAGCTCATCTGAAAAAATATTAAATTTTGATTTACTGTACAAAGAACTGTGCTCTTTCTAATCATATAAAAGAACAGACGTTTCGCCCAAAACCAGTCAAGCAAAATCTATTTTTTGATTGCCACGTCGAAAACTAATGGTTTTCGTCTTGACGTTTGAACCTGGCGGAAAAAAATTAATTTTTGTTTGATCTAAGCATGGCTTCTCGTAGTACAACTCATGAGATTTCAAACAAAAAAAAATTGACTTAAACGGTTGTCTTTCGGCCGAATTACGTCGATTTTCCGAGAAGAGCCAAAACCACCGTTTGAACTTGGTGTTTTTTGAAACATACGAAAAAAACAAAAGCATTTTTGTGCGACAGAGTTTTGCTTCGAAAATTTTGAAACACACTACGAAGATAGAACTTTCAAAACTCTACAAAATGGCTCACTTACTTTTTTTTCCGTTTCGTATCTATGAGCACAAACCCAAAGAAATTGAATTTTGGGCGTGAAAGTTGGACATGTTGAGCATCTTCATTATTTTTACAATAACTTTTTTAATTTTGAGTTTAGAACAAAACCCAAAACCGGTTTGATAGAGAATTGAACGATGAATCTTTTAAACAAAAATTAGTTCGATTTGACCAAAACTGACGGAGTTATTGAGGAAATACAAAATACCCATTCTTTATGGCATACCCGTTACTACTAAACAAAAATTCCTTAAGATAAAGTTTTTTTCCGTTTATTCAGTTGAAGATCTGATTTTCCATGATCTAGATGTTTTACTTGTAATGAATTTTTGTTCTATCTAGATCAGAAGCATAAAATAAAAATTTGTGTAAGAGAGGACCCCATGTTTCCTCCTATGTATATCTTGACATTCTTTGACTTTTTTGCGTTTTTTATAAAACTAAGTATATTTAATATAATTGAAAAACATTTTTGTAAAATTATTTTAAATAAAGAGCTTTCGATACTTCATAGTATCATCATCAGGCTAATATAACTGCCAGTCATCAAATACTAAAAGTAAATTTTTATTTTACTCTAAGGACTTAATTGATAATTCTAAATATTTCTTCATATAGAGGCTTCAACATACCAGTTTCTGATCTAGATAGATCAAAAATTCATTACGAGTAAAATATCTAGATCGTGGCAGACCGTTTTCTCGAAAATCCGATTTTCAATGGTCTAAGGGGAGATTCGATTATCACCTTCGAATCAGCATTATTAGTAAGCCAAAAAGTCGATAGGTTTCGATAGAAAAACCGATTTGCCTTCTAGAAACCTTTCCTGGTTGGACCGAAACCAGCATTGGTACAAAATCTTGTAGATTCATATAGATACATGTACTTTATCGCAAGGAGAAGTGTTTAAAAGCGTAATTCGTTAAATAGTTTCCGTTTTCATTTTTTTTCAGAAAAAAATTCTGATAAAACTCCTTTTTACACGAACAGGAGAACATGGTCTTTTATTTAACTTTCGTGCTGCTAATCGATAGAGATTTTTTAATGAAGAAATTGTGTTATAAACTTTGCACTGCTCGTTGTAACGCCATTTGTAACCATTCAATTTTACTCTTAACTTCTCGAATGGCTATTTCTAGTTCTCCTTGTACACTTGCGTGAGCTCGATAATCTGTCATATAGAGATTCTTCCGATACTTTGCTAATAACAATTCTCTTGCTAATATAACTTGGGGATGACGAGAATAGATGGCTTGTGTTGATGTTGTTTCGCTTTCCGCATCACCTTTATTATCATAATCAATTTTAAGATCAATCATTGATCGTTCAATTTCCGAAATTCTTCGACATATAATACGAAAACGTTCGACCGCTTCCGGTGCCTTTTGATAGCATTCTAATAAGGATGTTAGTCGAGCTACTTCTTCTTGTAAACGACATCTTAAGCCAGTAATGAGAACATTCATGCTTGTGTCTTGTTTAACTGTTGCTATAATATCATTTGATTTATTATTTATTGTATATGGTGATATATCAGTCTGATTGAGAAATGGAATTTGTTCTGTACTTGAACTACTTGTAACATTTGTTGATGAAAGTGATGATGATATCGAAGGGCGACTTTGTTGCTGTTGTTGTTTTTGATGAGAATTTAGAGTCTTCAGAGCATTTAAATTTATTGTGGTTGTTGGTAAACGAGACTGCCCAGTGGTGGCATCGGTTGAGAAAGCAAAAGTTTGCTGTACGGGAAGAACCGATGATTGATGGGTATTTATGTTTGATGGCAATACGAGAAAATGATTCGATTGTGAATTGGAGTCCACACTTAAATTGTTATTGCTAGCTTGAAGGTCATGTGGTAGAATTGATAAATGTCGATCAGAGTGAGTTAATGTCGATCGTGGAGTGATATCTGCGCTAAGTGCGATGGGTGAAGTATATTGGTTCAAACGACTATCCTCAATTGGTGGTAGTTGCAATTGAATTGTTGACTCTAAATCGAACAATTGTGTACATAGCCGAAGTATTGTTTCAAATTTTAAGGCAATATCAGGAATAAGTCGTAGAATATACGCCATCCCACTATTATAGTAGGTGAGACCTGATAGAGCTTTTTCACTTTGATCGTACAATAAGTTCATATTTGCATCATATTCGTCGTTCAATAAATTTACTAATTTTTCATTAACAGCTTTTAGTTCTTCTTTTATTTTTAGTGCATGTTGTGCATAGTGTAAACGATATTTTGACATACGACTTTTTGGTGAAAATTTACCGGATATTGCTAATAAATTAGTGTCATCATTTTTCTTTGTTAATATATCTTCATTAAAATCTAATGCCAATGTTGTGACTAATAATTCATTTTTTAATGTTTCATGACATTTTCGTAAATATTCGATTAATTTTAAAAATTGTTTTAAATGACCACAAACTTTTTTTTCTTTAATTTTTTTTAGACGTCGAACAAATTCATCAACAACTGATAATGAAATATTTTGATATGTGTTAAATAGACGTGATGCAGCTTTTAATGCATAGTGTAGCGTGGACACGGAATAGGAATCATTTATGCGACCAATACGTTTATGAAATGATAAAAATAAATGATCGAGTGAATATGCATTTTCAATGGAATTATTCGAATCGGCTGCACTCACTACCGTCCGTTTAGTCAACTGATCAATATCTATACAAAAGTAACAAAAACACAGATAAACTTCTATTTTAATGCATTTCACCATATCGACTTACCAACGCTCGTATGCAATGACACATTGTTTCTACTTGATGTTAACATTATTGTTTTAGCTAAAAACGAAAAAACCATCTTGTCATCTCATTAGTCCGAAACTTTTTAAGCAATATATAATCTCACCATCTTTAGATGAAAATTTGTTAGTAGCTTCATCAATTCGCAAGATATACTTTCTTTATAGAGAAAACTACATCTGAAAATGTACTTAGAAGTGTCAGCCGATCATCTGATAGGCGGCAGCTGGCTAAAACATTTTCACGATTAACGGCGGCAGCTGGAAGCATCTGAAAACGTTTTCTCCTCCGACGGAGGCTGAACGTGCTTTTTTAAGGTGCCAGTTAATCCAAAAATCGAGCAACATTTTTTTTCGTCTTTTCGAAATTTTTCAGTTTCGGAAAAAAATTCGTGTTTTCAGCAAACACAAAATACAAACCCAACTCGATCTGTAACACACTCATTCGAACTTGGACGTTTTATTTTTGAAATTTTGGTAAAATTTGACCGAATTCCGATATTTAATCTTTTTAACGAAAAATATTCTTTTAAAAAGCTAAAATCGATGTTTTCCTAGGTAACGCGATGAGCTCTGTCAAACTAAATCAGAAAAAGCGGAAAAAAAGATTTGCTCGATTTTTAGATCACCGGCACCTTACTTGTGTGCAATTTTCTACAAAAAGCAGCTACAACACTTTTCAAGATTTTCCAATCAGCGGCAGCGGCGACTGAGGGTCCCACACTTCTAGACCGTGCTCAGTGGCGGCTTATTGGCTGACACGTCTAAGTGTACTCATCCAAAATACCTACTGCGTTAAAAAGAAAAGTGTCGATCATCGCTGATGTATGGGTTAACACACTCATCCAGAAGAGTGTATGGATGTATCACTTAATATCATCGCCAAGTTATTACGATGAGTATCGCAGTATTTAAAATAACGAGTTAAATTAATGTAACAAAACACGAAATCGATTAAGAAACGGCCAAAATCGCTGGTTTAGGTACAAACTCAATTCTTCTGCTCGTGCAGAGTAGGGAGTTTTTCAAAATGTATAGAAGGTCCTAATGAGTACTAAAAAAGTAAAATCTATACACTCTCCAAAACTGCTTGAAGAGAGATTTACAAGTTCGGGTTTGTCTGCACATTGGAGCTAATTGAATATGCTGACGACAACAAATGTCTACTGATATTGACAAATGATTTTGATAAAGGTTGAAATCTTTGTATTTATTAACTGAAATCTTCAATGAAATAGTTTTATAAAGAGTTTTCAACGCGTGATACAAGTATTCTCTAATTGGTGTAGTAGATTGGTTAATAAAACACAGTGCAAAATAGAGTATTAGTGCAAAGTATTACTGTTCACAAATGATTGTGTTTATGACGAAACAACGTTTTACCTTGTATTTCATAAAATAAAAAACAGAGGAGAGAAACTATTGAACGATTCTTTTTATTAAAATATGCATTATTTCCCTTTCCTCTTCTTTTTTCTTGCTTTCACTACTATATACAACAACATCAATCATTTTTTTGTGTTTATTAACAATCAACATTTGTATATAATGAAAAAACGAAGAAAAAAAATGAAAATATTATAAAACAAGTGCAATAAAATCTTCTTTGTATGAGTACTACTTGATCATACAACAATAATGACGAAGGAATTAATCTTTCCAAAGAAGAAGAAAAGAAAAACGTTGTTTTTATTTACCAAAGATACGATTAACACATCTATTACTCTCCTTTTGTATTAATTGCACTTACGACACAATGGTGATCAAAGAAAGTACATGTCAATCTATCTTTACCATCTTTAAATTAAAATATGATTGAAGTTGATGCCAAACGTGTACAATACTTTGTGTTCTCGACTTTTCCGTTTACGCAAATCGCTTTAATGAGATCTCATAAGTGCTAATAGTAGTGTACATTTATCACAGAAGAGAAAAGTTATAAAGCAGAAAGTCTATTCGACCCAAACGCTATTTTCCTCCAGAACTCTTCTTAGGTTATAACTGTAATTTCGAGACCAGCTCCAAAGTCTATGATGAACAAATTGTGAATCGTTCTGTTTGTAAAATTCGCTGAGTTACCCGTATTAAAACATTTTCAGAATCATCGAACAAATTCTCGATGAGCTACAGAAAATATACTATCTGGTTCCTTGCAGAAGTATGACTCTACGCATTTAATTTATAGTAAGCTTTCTGCGGCTTCTCAAAAAAAGTCGCATTGTCCAAAATGGATTACAGGTTCGTGATCAGTATAAAAACTAACCCATAATCAAATAGGTTTCAAGAAAAAAGAGAGCAAAAACTTGGGAACATTTTTTCTTCGAGAGTAATAATCTAGTACATATATCTAACCCTAAATGGGCGTAGAAAACTACCCAGAAAGAAGTTCTGCGAAAAAACGTTTTGTAGGATGGAAACTTCGTGCATAATTTACCTTTTCAAAACCAAGAGTTTGACATATTGTATTTCAATTTTTTTATAATTTTTACAGAACAATAGTGGAAACACGCGAGACGAAAGGTGAGACTGCAAGGAAAAACATTTCCGTTATGCATTGATTTAAAAAATAAGTTCATGCAAAATCAATTTCTATGAAATTTTTTTGAAACGTCTTGAATGTTTATTTAACTTTGAGAATAAAATTCTCAAAATTCAAAACGTCGGTAAAATAAATGGATGAATAATTAACAGATTCAAGTCAGTCATTGTTAATATTCTATTATATATTCAAAAACAACGATTTTTCATTTAAAATTTATTCAAAAAATGAAATAAATGTTTAAATGACAATAATAAACAATATCAAACTATTCATCATCGTATAAAATAATTTGGTAGAAACGAAGTTTCAACTCATTAAAAATATAAAACTTCTAAATGAACTGAGTTTATTTTGTCCATTTTATCAACATAATAATGTTTAAGTCAGCACTTACGTGAAGAAATATTCTAGTCCAACTTTTTCTGTTGAAATATTTCAGGTAAAAAAAATCCCAGAAGGAATCCTACAGGAGTCCCATACCATCCTATGCCTGTAGGAAAAGGTAAGAATTCTATTATAACTAATCTTGCAGTATTCCTATTATACGAACGTGTAGCATTTTCTGAAAGAAAATCCTATCACACCTCTGCGGTAAGAAATTGTCATATAGGATCGCACAGTAGGAGATGAGAGAATTTCAACCCTACAAAGCTTGTTATTTTTCTATGCATCTTCCACTCATTGTCTTGTTTTTCAGTAACAATTCCATATTAATAACGAGTATTACAATGACCATTCTTTCTCGGTGTTCTCGACTGCTGTGTCAAAGAATGAAGTTCTGCTACTCTTACAGAAATATCTGACAGAGCAGCTACAGAACGATGAGTCGTTCTAGTTTTATTGGGATACAAAAATTAAATGAATATCAAATATATAAAATGAAGGATAACAATGGCTAGTCGAAGATCTTATGATATGATCCTATAAGATTTTAGTGAATTTCAACCATTTTCTTCGTTAGGATCCTATATAATCTTACCGACGATCCTATAAGACCCTATTAACATTCTATCAGCCTTTTATCCTTTTATCCTGCTGTGAGAAATGATAGGGACTTTCCGATGGACCGAACATCGACTACTTTCCTACAGGAATCCTATAAGAAGTAGCATTCTATGGGATTCTTATGAGGTTCCTACAGAATCCTTTCTATAAAATCCCATCTAGGATTATTCGACTAGGAATAGTCGGTTGTATGGATGCCATTCGCAAGATAACTGCCGATAAGGTAATTTTGGTGAGATGTACTAGCATTGTGTAGATTACTCTAAAGGGTACCCCCCCTCTTTTTTCACTTTGTTGCCAAATGGACAGGTCCGATTGAGCTCAAATTTATACCAGAGATAGAACATCGAAAAAGAAAATCAACGTATTTTTGCCCAGAATTTTCTGAGATGTTCTTATATGGGTTTTCTGGAAAACTCCAGTTTTCATCTAGTCACATTACGGCCTCTCATAAAAATGGTCCGATTGAGCTCAAATTTTTACCACAGATACTTCAGACCCTATCTCAGGTTCTAATTTTTTTTCCGAAAAACATGCTTTCTTTCTCGAGATATACGAAAAATGCTGAAAATCAGTGAAAAAACTGAAAAAATCTGACTTTTTTGCATTTGACAACAAGGTGAAAAAAGAGGAAAGGGGGGAGTACCCTTAAATTAACATACATTAGTATGTGTATTTGGTTCTTTCTTCAGCTGAAACCCAGTTCCGTTATTGTTTATAGGTTGTCATTCAGGAATTGAAAGCATGAATTGACTGATGTCTTTACTTCTATAGTATCGACTCAGATTGTTTTTCGATGTGTTTTTCTATATCTAAAAATGTTTTTATCATTCCTAAAAATATCAGTGTTCAGGGGATATTATTTGTTCTTTTTTAAGTCAATTATTTTATACTTTATCTTTCTTTCTCTTTCTCTCTCTTTCTCTCTCTCTCTTCTTGTTGAAAATTTTGACAAAAGTGTATATGAATTCGAAATTGTTTTCTTCTTTTTTTTGTTTCACAATCAATTACTAAATACTTAAGCCTTGATTTCCGTCAAAAAAATATTTTCAGAGAGAGAAAGGCTTCCTGTAGATACGCAATGCAACTGAAAAAATTGCAACAACCTGACTGTTATTGTTAACTAAAATGTGATCAATTTTTTATGTTCACACCACAATACTTCATAGTTCGAGTCAGATTAGAATTTTTCACAAGAATAAGTTTATGTAAGTACAAGGTAATGATTAGAATGTTCAACAAATTCTCCATATAAATATCAGGTATGAAACGTTTGACGATTCTTATTTACAGTTATTTCTTCAAAAAAAAAGAATAGATTTGAACTCATCAGCGTTTTCATTTTCATTCATCATTTTTAGCTGTTTTTTGTTGACCATGATAATAATCAAGTATTTGATGTTTTTTACTTTATTGATATGGCTTGAATTGTTTAAAAATGCAAACTGTGTATTGTTTAAACCATATCAGCGTAGCAAAGCG